ACTTAAAGAACATTCGAAAGCTTTTCCCCATCAAGGTCCTCAGTGGGGGTGGGGCCGGCCCACTGGGAGAGACGGAGGGTGGGGAGGGGGGCCCTCTCCCTGCGCAAGGCTAGATCCTCACCCAGAGGAATGCGAGTCAGCCTCCTTCCTCTGCCCGAGTCTGGGTCCTATAGTGGGTTGAGCTCTAGGGTCATTGGCTCAAGCCCTCTAGATCAAGGAGGGGGAACGACTGGAACCAGCTGAGACGAGGGGCTCTGGGGGAGACGTTGCCAGGCAGATGGGATCCGGTGGCTGCATGAGTGTCCGAGGCTAGTGACAAAGTGTGAGCAAACCGTGCCTGAAATAAATTAACATTACCCTGTGGCGGACCTCCTCCACCCACGTGACGGCTTCCTAGCAAGAAGCAAAGCTGGAGTTTATTAAGTGCTTATGAAGTGCAAGGCCTTTACGTCCCTATGTCCTGCCGTCACGATAGTCTTGCAAGCTGGTACTATTTGTTCCATTTTATAAATAATGAGACGGAGGCTCAGAGAAATGAAAAGAAACTTGCTGGTGGCTCTATGGCTACTACGAGGCACTGGGATTTGAACCCAGGTCTGTTAGGCTGCACAGCTCAGGTAGCCGCAAGGAAACTTCCAATCTGGTGTTGTAAGGATGTCGGGAGTATAAACCAACCTTCGCTCAGTGAAAGAGAGGTCAGCCCGCAGGCGCACCCTGACTTTCTGTGTTTCCTAGATGGCGTCAGCTTCACCTGCCTTCCCCTCCCCAGACTTCTGTTGTGTCTTTCTGGAGACGTATGGACCAGGATGTTTCACTGGACCAAAAAGGGACCTGCATCCCCTTATGAAAACAGAACGAAGCCCCCCGCCCCGCCCCAGAAGAAACAGCTGGTGCTCTCAGGGAGCGGGAGGACAAGCAAGGGGACCCTGTCACCCCTGACCGCCCCCCTCTGACAGCTCACCTTCTCCTTCCATGTCACAGGCGGTCTGGACATTTGTGAGCCAAGGGCTGCCACGTCCAGCCCACATTTGCTCCTGCAACACTGTCCCCATGGGATTTCCTGCTCTTGTCACCGTCCCCAGCTGCCCAAGATCCCCTGACCCCCTTCTCTGCCTGAGCCATGAGGGGAGTTTGTCTCCATGTTCCCCTCCAGCTCAGATGGACTGCAATTGCCTGAACAATTTTACCAAAAACAAAGAGAAATAGCAAAACCATTTTTTTACATGTCTTAGAATTGTAAAAGCATTTTGAATCACCATGCTGACAAGCCATAGGTTTCTCGCATGCAGGTACTAACCGAGCCGCACCCTGCTTCGCTTCCGAGATCACGCATGTTCTGGGTGATATGGCGTAGACTCGAGCAATAGGTTTCTGGCCCTAAACCAAAGGAAGGTCATTTCCAGGCCTCAGCCCCATTCTCTGGTCCCCCCAGAGACAAGATAAGAGTTGCTCTCCGCTGAAATCCCTTTCCCACTTCCTCCAGGAGGACAGCTGGAGGCTGGCAGAGATGCCCTGGTGCCCTAGTGGGGCCCTCGCCTTGTCCCTCCGCCCGGCCATGGAGGCCCATGGTGGGGACCAGACTCAGCGGCCAGGTCAGCCCTCTGCTCTGCTCTTGGGGAAGGGCTGTGGGATTATTCCCTCATGCTAGCAGCTTTCTATTCTTATTTCTTGATAAGAGGAGAGGCTGTTTTCTCTTTCTTTCTTTTTTTTTTTTTTTTTTCCCACATCTCCGTTTGAACCTGGCCTCAGCCTCCCCCACGCCGGGCCCCCATTCCGAGGACTTTCTGGCCCTAGTAGCATAGGGGAACTGGTTTCTCAGAAGCCTTGTGTAGCCTTGCATTGTCTTGTGTCGCGTTCGGGGGCTGTCAACAAGGAGAGTATCTCCTGACATCTTCCCAGGCTGCCTCATCTTGTCCCCAGGGCGGGTCACCGCTGTCATCCCCAAGTGACTCTTTTATGGGTGTTTTTTCCCATCTGCTGAAGTCACAATGTTCCTGGCCTCCTTCCAGGCCTTGCCCACTGTGGGCTGCCTAGCAGATTGCAGCTTCCCTGAATTGTCCTGCCCCCATGCCTGGGATATGCACTGGTCCCACAGCCAGCGCCTGAGTGAGGTCAGAGGTCAGAAGAGCAGCCTGGGTTGACCATCCTGGGCTCCACCGAATGATTTATTAGCCACTGTCTCCAGTAGGGGCTGTTAGCACATCAAAGCAGTGTTTGTAGAGCCTGGAAGAGTAGCGACCGTGATAGATGGCGGACAGTAGCTGTGGTCACACCATCAGACCCGCTCTGTGAGCAGGGGGTGGAGGGAGAGGTTCCTGACTCCAGCACAGGCGAGATGAGACCCAAATGTCCATGTTCCGTAACATGGATTTGTCCCTCGATGCACGAACCCTTGGGTGTGGAACTCTGGAAGTCTAGGCCGTCCGGTGCAGTGCCGGCAAAAAGAGTGGATTCTGGAATCTCTTAAGATGGGAGTTCAAATCCCAGCTCTGGCCTCTGGGAGCTGGGGGAAATGGGGCTCATCATGGGCTCTCCAAAGCCTGGGCCTTGCTTCCGGCAGGATGCGGATTACAACACCGCGCTTAGAGGCCTAGGGAGAGGCCTGGAGAGGGGACGTGGGCCCACATGTGTAAACTGTGTGGCTGGGGGAGCTTGGCAGATAGGATTTCTCAACACGGGGCCCCATGGGGACCTCCGGGTGGCCATCCGCGCTTGGAGGAGGACGCTGCCTCTGGGCAGGGCCGTGCTGGACGGAGTGCTGCCCTCGTGCTTACTGCCGTGCTGTCCAGCTCCTTGGCTGTCTCCCACCCGTGAGTGGACAGACAGGCTGTTCTCCTGTGAGCCGAGGGGCTGAGGCGGCTCAGACGAGGTGGTGCTCTTCAGCCAAGACAGTTCCTGAAGAGAACTGACGACGACACTGCTTTCAGCGTCTTGGGGGACTGTCCTTCACCCTCCGAAGGGGAACCGGGAGGGGGCACAGCACAGCACCCACCCCTGGGGCCTTTGTACAGGTGCCAGGACATAGCCTGGACCAGACGCTCCACCTCGGCCTTCACGACGGGGAGCCACGCATCCCTTGGGAAAGTGCCAGGTCCCCGGAAGTTTCTGTGGCAGTCCCGTTTACTCTTCAGAACTGGGAGGTTTATCAGACTCAGTGAACACATCTGTTCCCCTTCGGCTCTGACTTTTGAGGATTCCTCTGGCTCAGACAAGTGGGAGAATCAGAGGGAGCTCCACCTCTACCCTTAAGCCAAAGTCTGGACACCCCAAAGGTCTCTCAGTGCACCGGGGACGAGACCAAGCTCGTCAGTCTGGCCTCCAAGATCCTTTGAAGTCTGGTCCCTGCGTGGCCTTCCTGCCAAATCTCATGGCAATCTCTTCTTTTCTCCCAAAGCTCTGAGGCAGAGCTGCTTAATGGAACTTTCTACAATGATGAAAATATTTTATACCTGTGCTGTCCGATATAGTGGCTGTTAGTCACTTGAAGTGGGGTTAGTGAGACTGAGGAACTGAATTTTAATTTTATTTAATTTTAACATAAATGGCCACAGGTAGCTTCTGGCTACCATATGAGACATCACAGTTCCAGCCACTTAGGCCTTTTTCTCTATTTCCCTGAGACCCAGGCTCGTTCCTATCTCAGGGCCTTTACACTTGTCACGGTTTGGGTGGAAAGATCAGCCCTTGGATCCTCTCACACTGGCTCCTTCTCATTTGTTAAGTTTCAATTCCAATAACTTCCTCAGAAAAGCTTTTCTCTACCACTGAGGCTAAAGCATTTTCCCCAGTCCCAGGCCCTGGACCCAGCGCATTACCACATACTTCTTCGTAGCAGTTACCAATGCCTGAATTTTCTCACTTAATTATTTCTGTTTGATGTTTGTTGCTTGCAACTAGAAAGAATAGTAACAATGTAAAATGTAATAATTTACATGGACGTACTGTGTGCTGGGTACCAGTTTGAACACCTCACATACATCGTCCCATGGAATTCTCACCACACCCCCTTGAGGTAGGTGCTGCTTCATGCCCATTTTACAGATGAGGACACTAAGGCTCAGAGGTTGACTTGCTTAGCGTCACATGCCAGGACTCACTTTCTTTTTCAGCTCTGTAACCCCAGTGGCAACTTTGGACAGTGTCAGACACCAAGGGCGAGGCCCCCAGAAGTAACTGTTGACCCTGGGCTGGCTAGGACTCTGCTGGGTGAGGAGGCTGGCCCATATGGCCCCAGGAAGGCCCTGGCCCTGGGTGTGGGCACCGGCTCTGCAGCTCCATGGACCGCCAGGCTGGAACAGTGAGCTGGGGGTGAGGTCCACGGTGGCACTGAGTATGACCTAGAGTCTCACCCATTCAGTCCTAGGAGACTCCAGTGGACTGATTGGGGAGAGTAGTGGGCCTGGCTGGGCCAAACGGACAGATCTTTCTCCTGGGCAGTGAAGTGTGCTCTCAGCCAAGGTGGACTCTCAGTGGCTAAGGCTGGGCTGGGGTTGGGGCTGGGGCAGAGAGGCAGGGGTAGAGGACAGGGCTGGGGCAGAAATAAGGGCAAAGCTGAGACTAGGGCAGAGGCAGGGGCAGAGGCAGGGCTGGGGCAGAGACAGAGGCTGGGCTGGGGCTGGGGCTGGGGCAGGGGCGGGGCTGGGGCTGAGGCAGGGGTTGGACTGGGGCAGAGGTTGCTCAGTCTGTGTTTACTGTACTTTCCTGGTGCCTCGGGCAGAAAAGGACCAGAACTTTGGAGACCACCCAGCTTTTCCCTCTGCGGAGAGCTCTCACACTCTCCTGCCCTCCCTGCCAAAGCCCGAGCCTGGGGCTTCCTGTCCAGCTGCAGGAAGGTGGGGTGGAGGGGCTCTGTGCACAGCCGCGGTGGGGAGAGGCTTCTCTGCTGTGAGTTCCTTCATGGGAATCAGCACCTGGTAACACAACCTGGTGTCCTGGGGGACCTGCCCACCCCACCCACCCCCGCCCAAATAGCCTCTTCTCATGTTTAAAAAGTCAGACAGGGCCTCCCGTGGGGAAGGGACATTCCACGAGGAGGGGATGCTGGTGGGCACGACTGAGAGAGACTTCACCCTCCTCTTGATGCTGTGGTTCTGTCCCCATTTCCTGTAGGGTCTGCACAGCTCCCCCTCCCCCTGAACAGCCCCCACCCCCACCCCCACCACTGCACACTGGGCTTACAGGGGGGGCAGGAGTTTTGGGCAAGGAGACTGAGGGACACGTGCTAGTTCCAACAGAGCCTCTTTTCTGCTGGGTGACCTGGAGTAAGCTTCCTAACCTCCAAGCTCGAAGTACAGTGCTCTGAAAACTCCCGGGACCTCTTACGTGTGAGGTCAACAGCCAGAGCAAAAAGTCATAACCACGATGTTCATACAAAGTTTCTGTGTTGACCCAACAATCCCACTTCCTTAGCCTAAGAAAATAATTTATCAAAGGTGCTAACGGCACAAAGGTATTCGTTGTAGCATAAAATAGGAAGAAACATAGAAACTTCCAGATCTAGCAGCCAACAAATCTAGCTAAATCATGATCTATTGTGCAGCCCTTTGAAAAATGGCATTTGGAAGGCTGCACGATGTGGGAATGTGTTTACCTTGTCAAGGGAAAGAGGCAGTGTGCCACGTTACGTGCGTGCTCCTTCCCACCCTGCAAATGTAGGGCTCCGTGTGGAGGAGGGTCAGAGACAGGGGGAGAAACTGGAAACAGTTGTGGGAGAGCAGGGGGCTGGGGGGTGAGGGACGATGCTTTTCTTTCACAAAATGTCCTTTAATGTTCTTAAAGAGCTGTTTTAACAATAAATAAATGTCAGAAAAACAAACCTTTTTTTTAGAAAGCAAAGCCAAATGTGAGATCCAAAGTGTTTTCACTCTTCTCAGCTCAGATGTCTCCAGTTCTTGGATCCTCCTTCACCCCCAGCACCCCACAGCCCCGAACGTCCTCTCGAGGTCCCGTGCCAGCCTGTCCGGCCGGCGCACAGCCTGCGGGGCCTCACCTATTCCTCTCCTTTCCCTCCTGTCCTTCTCCTGTCACGTGTCTCAGATAGCGGTGTCTATCTCTGCTTGCCACCAGACTCTGGCTGGAGCCTCTACGTCCTCTGTTATGAGAGTTCTTTCGCTTGCAGCTGCAGCTGAGACCCTGGCCAAGGAAGGCAACTATGTTTCCTCACAGATGCCAGCTCCAGGGGATTGGTTGTGGCTGCCAAAAGTATAAGAAGCCGTGCTGAAATCAACTAGTTGTGTCTGCCATGGGCCCCGGCTGGAGAGTAGGGATACGTGTCTCAGGTATTTGCTCTCCCAGAGTCGTCTGGTACTAAAAATAGGGCTCTGATACCTGGGTTTCGTCTCAGCCCTGCCAGTGGTTCCCTGGAGAATGGTGGATGGTGTACCCCTTTGTCCCGTGGAAGGAAGAGTGGAAGCACCCAGGGCTCCAGGGAGTGCACTGGTGTGGAAAGAGGGTGGGCTTTGTAGTCTGACAGACCCCAGTGAGAATTCCGGCCCCACCATTTTGGTCTTAGACAATCAATTTAACTTTATTGAACTGTCCTATAGCTACCTGGAAGTGAACATATTTGCAGAAAGTTGTGTTATGAAAATTAGAAGTCATGACTAGAAAGCACGCAGTCTGCTGCTGTCTGGCACACAGTAGGTGTTTTTGTGGCCATCCTGGGGCTCAGGCGTGTGTGGTGGTGTTGAGGCAGGTGGTGTGACAGGAGGCCCATGTAGGGGCTCCCGGCTGTTGCCCATGTATTTCTTTCTGGCTCCCTGGCCCACAGCCACACACGCACGCCTTCACCACGGCCTTGTGGGCAAAGAACACAGCTGCTTGAGACATAACTAACTGAAAGACAGAGACAAGCAAATTTTTCACTTGATTATGCCATTATAAATGAAAACACTCCGTAGTATGACCGAGCATTAACATTTATTAATTACTAATCATGATATATCTATTTTAACTGTATACAAATTAAAGTAAGATTTAAGAAAAATAGATAGCCAGGGGCAGTTAAGTACCTCACTGATTGTTAATTTTTCCCAGTCATGGCTCCATGTAACCCTGCTTCCCCTCCAGGCCTGAGTAAAGCCCCACTATCTTACTCCTGACATCCTGTGGTTTGGGCCTTGGTCATTGCTGGGCTTCGGCTCTGGGCTTCCATGCCTCGTGGAAGGAAGGAGGCAAAGGGGGAGAGATGTAAGCACTCTTGAAGGTGGCATAACCAAGCAATTCCACACTGGGGTAAAGCTCATGCTCCAACACAAGTCAGTTTCCAAAAGCTGTGACGACATCGTTCCTTCCTAGATCCTTAGTTCGGGTGCTAGCCAGGGGACCTGCCCACATACTCATTCACGAATTCGGCAAGGATTAAGCGAGCACACATTCTGGGCCGGCAGCTCCGGGCTATGGAATTGGAATACATCAGGCCTGGAAGGCCCCCAGAGACTGTGTATTGCGAATCAGCAACTTGGCGGCCCAAATGCAGCTTCTTTTTTGCCTTGCAGAGTAGTTTTTTATATTTTCTTCAATTTATATCAACATTTAGAAACCAGAAGATTTTGCGTAAAACATCCCATTTTTCTTGAATATTTTCAAGATCCAACAATAGTGAGACTGCCTCCCACCCTGGCAGTATTTGGTTGGAGCCCACGAGTGGTAGTTCCTTTGTAGGCACAGAGGCTAGCCTCTAGCACTTGGCCCCAGTCTCTGTCCTGCCCTAACGCAGCGCACCTGGCCTGCTCCATTCATTTGTTACTTATCTGGCCCCTTGAGGGCCCCTGGGGTTTGCAGCATCTGGTCTCCCTCCGCTCCTCTTGGACTAGTGACTAAAAAGTGAATGAGCGCACCCATCAGAAAACTCACATTCTAACAGAAAAGACAAGACAAGGAAAACAGGAATTAGCATCTGTACATAGAAATGAGAATGACAACTAACTCAATATTTGGAGGGCTTGGGAGAGAATTGAGCATGGTACCATGGGGTCGTGGTAAATCAAGGCCAACTGCTCGGAAGAGGTGGTGTGCAGCGGCTGTACTTAATGGTGCGACCTTTGCTGGAGAACATTTTGTGCATTTTAGATGTGGGAGGGGAGCACTGTTTGCTCAACTGCTGACTTCCTCAGCTGCTCACTTCCTGGGAAGGACCTAAGGGGAGGGCTGGGGTGGGAAATCTCCTTGAGAACTCTCTCCAGGTCACACGGAGGACCTCACTGCTTCTCGGAGATTCGGTCAAAGGTGACAAGTTCAAGTGGGACTCCAGATCCATATCAAAATAGAATCGGGGATCAGACCCAGCAGAGCTTGATGGGTGCCCCATCCTTGATGGATCTCCACCCCGACTACACAGGCAGGTGACTTGATGGAGAACTTCTCCCCAGCCCCGGCCCCCTGCCCTCATCTGTGCTCAGGCAGCTCGGCCCCTCTGCCCCGAGCCGGAGACTGTCGGGGAAGCTGCCTGCCAGAGAACAATGCCAGCAGCCCTGGCCCGAATCTAGAGTTGGGCTGGTGACCTCCACCAGCAAGACCTACCCCGCAGACTTCCTCACTCAGGACTTCTGATTCTGACCCCAACGGGGAAGTGTCAGGGGCCCAAGGAAGCAAGAAATGCGTAATTTGTCCCACTGGTTCAAAGCTGGCGACTTTAATCTGTACTATTTTAGTCAAATGGTCACCCAGCCCCATCCTGCTCTGCTGATCTCCGCTTGCTCTGACCCCTGTCTGTTTGTTCTCCCTGGTTTCCAGGGTTTCGGGGGCTCATCTGAGAGGCAGTGCAGCAGACGGACTCACAGCGGGGGCCCCAGAGTCAGCCTGTGACCCCGAGCAGGGACGTACCACCTCGCCGTGCTTCTGTCTTCTTGTCTGTGAAATGAGAGCGGTAGAGGTGGCCGCCGTGTAAGGCTCGGGAAGGGCCGAATGCAGTACTAACCCTAAAGCACGGAGAATGATGCTCGGTGCATGGGGAGAGCTGAGGGTTAGCCGTCCTTCCAGTTAGAACACAGAGGAAGGTAGCATAATTATTCAGAACCAGAAGTTCAGAGCTCCCATCTACTGAGTGCTTCCTCTAAGCCAGGACCCGTGCTAAAACCCCTTACCTGCATTCTCGCATTTACTCCTTGAAATCCAATGAGGTTGACACTATCCTTACCCCATTTTACAGAAGAGGACCCTGGGCCTCGGAGAAGTGAAGCAACTGGCTCAAGGTCACACAGCTCGCAAGCAGCAATTTCGGGATTTGAACCAGTGGCTGTTTGTCTCCCAAACCAATGCTCTTACCCACCGTTCTGGGCGGGGGCCTGGTTTGATAAGCAAAAGACCCAAGTTGTCAAGTCACGTCAGGTCTATTCTGTTACTTCTCTGTAAAGGAGGGAACAATGAAACCATGAGACCATGTGTGCAGGTGGCTGGCTGGGGTTCCCACTCAGATGCGCAATGTCTGCGCGGGGTTGGCAGCCATCCCCAGTCGGGGCGCGCTCAGGGCGCTGGCTTGAAGAAAGAGATGGTGGGGGTCTTGAAGTAAGCCCACGGATGAGGTCGCACCATCCTCAGGGGGACTAGAAAGGGCATACTGCGGATTTTCTTTCTCTGACCCTCTCGCCCCACCATCTAAGTTTTGTTGACTCTTACTTGCTTCCATGGTTGAAGCAATACACACAGGGGTTAAAAAGAAAAGCTTTAGGGTGTAGCTAGTTCCTGATGTCGGCTCAGCCACTTACCAGCTGTGTGACCTTGGATAAATTGTGTAATTTCTCTGTGCCTCAAGAGCCCCATCTGTACCGAACCTGCCTGCTAGGGTTGTTAGGGATCTTTGGTGAGGATCTGCATAGCTCTGGGGCTACGGATATGCTTGGGTGCCCCTGTCTGACTGTGGGCCTGTAACTTGCCCTTTGTGCCTCAGTTCCCTTATCTGTTAGGTGTGGATAATAGGCGTGTTACTTGTAGGACTGGAGTCAATAAGACGACGTGTAACACGCTTGGCTCCTGTTGGAGGTTGGTGAGTACTCAGGACCTATTAGTGTT